AAAAAAAAAAAGTGCATGGGACAGATTGTTCGTCAACATATGATCAGTAAATATTTTACGTTCAGGAATACAAACATCATGTAGCAGCAGCAAGAGTAGCAGCAGCAGTAGTGGTAGTAAGTTGTATTTTTTTGTGATGGGGGAAATGCATGTACGTACTCTGCTAGGACTAAAGTATTGCGGGACTCGATTTTTTTACTAGACCGCCAATACTTACTAGACCTCCCCCCTACTTTGCACAGTTTTAGATCCACCCCAGAATCGCGTTAACATTACTACAGAGTGGAGACAAAAGAGAAGACATAGTACCTCACAGTATTCGTGAGCAAGATTGACACCAGTTGCTAGGGGTACTAATTCTCACAAGTCCTGCAAAGGACTTGGAGTTCCGAAGAACTGGCACCCGTCTCTAGCTCTTCCCAATAGCTGCAAATTTTTAGAAGCGCAACATCTTGCTTGATGCTTATCCTTGATGATAAGTAGGAATACTTAGTGCAGCGCGGTGTTGTACAATTTTATCAGAGAGCTACCTGGATTTTTTTTTTCTTTTCCCTGAGACCTGTCCAGGTAAACCTGTCAACAGCCCTCCAACATGACTCCGGTGATGTTTTCAGGCTTAACGGCCTAATTTAATCGTCTCTCTAGGTACTGTCACTGCTTGCATCACCTACTTAACTAAAAAAAGGGCATTTGTATCATTCACCACAGGACAGTAATTAAAACTTATTGTCGGTCTTAGTTCCATGAGGTGAAGATCCGTGTTGAACTGTCGATGGCCCAAAAGAAGCTGAGTGTGGTAATAGTTAATGCTTCAGACAAAGATGTAGGACTAGTATAAGTTGGTACATCGACCTACCCACAACATCCATATCCTACTACCGCTGCCAGCGTCGCACGCTTGACTCCCTACTCTCGTCGTTCGGCTCGGTGAAGAATCTGGCCCTGCGCTCCTGCGCCAAAATAATGATTGGCACGGTTGTCGCGATCATCATCACATTGGTCAAAAATACCATGTGGCACGCACAGTTGACCTGCAAGGCCCAAGCCCGCTGTACCAAAGTTGAATGGTTTTTGAGCCATGCCAACGCCAACGTATAGTCCCAGACCTCCGAACTGTACAACATGATAAAGTTCACCACCGACGCGAGTACTCCCCTTCCGGCTTCAGGCGGCCCACTGATACTAGGCATTAATCGTGACAGAGTTTTAGCTACCCTCTAATGTCTTTTTCGTGATTCTCTTAATGTGTTCCCTGAGTGTGAGCCTAGAGTCAACTCAAACTCCGGAGAACCTAACCGCGGGGCACTCACAAATCGCCTTACCCGCGACGTTTACACGAAAAATATTTGCCAAACCATCGCTGCTTAGTGAGATCAACCGTCTCTGTTTTATGGCCAGCGAGCTCGAAGCCATGGTCCCCCTGCGGCTTTCATACCCTAGAGGTTCTTCTGATAGGAGTCCATTGCACAGGGGATTTCAGAGGTCGAAACTCAACACAGAGCCCTAAGCTGCCTACGACGTTAATCTTACCTCGCGTGGTCCCTCAGTTGTGTTGTACCAATGTGCGCGATCTTATAGATAGTTTTCCAGGACCTTTCTCTAGCCAATTGGTACCTCCAGGTCGCACAGTGTTCGTTTTATGTTAGACCACCTCGCCAAGTTAAAAGCGTTCTTAACATCTGTGGTGATCAGGACACAAGCATTTGTTGTTCTGTGGGGAGCTTGCTATGCCCTTTTTACATACTCCGAAATCTCGGACAGCGTGTGTGTAGTATGTTGATCTGTTAATTCTAAGACCGTCCTGGTTGTAGCTTAGATTCACCACCTAGCATAAGCGAGTTTGGATAATCCTCTCTAGTATCTTGCCCAAGTCGTCCAGCGTACACAACAGCATAAATGATGCTGGGGTCAGAGGTGGACCCTTACCGTTATTCATAAGAACGAGACCTTGGAACTTCCACACCCAGCCGAATACACCTGCTGGATAAGCGTTAAACATATCCTGTATAACATATGATTTATTTGCCGCCACGATATTAAGGACTTTATTTGGTAAAAAAGAGAATGAACAATGTTTTGCATAAACTAAGGCTTTATTTCTATGCAGTAGTCCAGGCTCCGGATGTCTCTTTGAACATTGTTAACGAGATCACATTAAAAACAGGTTTGGGTGCTGTTGATTGCTCTCACCAGTTTTTTCTTTGCATCCTTGTAAAGTGCCATTGTCTCCTCCTCATATCTCCTTCGTTGAAAACGTTAAAATCGGTGACGGAGTGTGTAAAACTGCCTGCATAAGTCAGCGATTTTTGTCCACCATTAGCTCAGTCTTCAACTCGACCTGGCCAATTACTGAGGCATACCTGCGTCACACTATTCACTGATGCGATGCATGGTACCCCTTAAGAGTTGCTCTGCTTCCGCTGCACTTGAAATCCTGCTTAGGTCAGCTGGAGGTGACATATTTCCCCGGGCTTCACAAAGTGCTTCTTGCGATGATGAGAGAGCAATCAAGAGCAAAACTTTACTCATCGAACAGTTTTGATAACTACCAAAAAAATTATCAAAAACATCCTGGGTTCTCCCTTTCTTTGGAATTTCAAAGTATTACATTTTTCTTTCCCCTATTTTTAACAATCATTTTGAAGATGATTTATCAACCCAACAAATGGTTACATTTAATTTGAGAATTTAAAATTTCTCACCAAGCCATGGATTTGTGTCACATGTATTAAGTAATGTTTTATGCTTACGATTTCGAAAGCTTCTTTAGGAAACACAGAGGCTTTATTTCTAATAATTAAATCTATTTTTTATAATTTTCTTTTATTACTATCAAATTCTAAAAATGCAATTTCTATATTCTGTGAATCTAATGATAATGAAAATCTTCCATGGCTCGTCATCCCCTTTGGTAGTAGTACAGATGATATATCTGACCATGCCACTCATATAATTTTTCATCCTCTGAAAGAAATAGTACATCAATTTTTTCTATTAAAATGTTTTACTTGAAGCTCCATGACCATGAATGAAAAAAATTTCTGTTTTCCTCCACAAATAGTTTTGAAACTAATTCTTTCATTTGTATTTAATGGTGCTTAAGTAGTATCAAAAATTTTTTTACAAACAGAAATTTTCCCTGAACTATTCTTCAATATTCGTGCAAATTATATTGACCTCGGGTAATTTAAAATTTTACAAGTCTCTTCTGCTATTCGAAATTTTGTTTTCTTCCAAAAAGAGATTTGCTTTCTTTATTCCAATCGAAGTTCTCTGTAAAATATTTATGATATTTATTCCATATCATAGCTCCATCAATATTTTCTGATAGTCATAACCTAGAAAAAGAAATTCTTAATTAAAATGGAATTATAACACTACAAGCTATATCGTCAATGGCTTTAATATTCGGGTCTTTTTCTAACCCTTAGCAGTTGTAGTTTAGAAGGACACTACGTCCTTCAAAATTTTATAAGCAACTCCATTGTATGTTTTTAAATATTTAAACGAAATCGCGCCTTTTACTTTATTTAATATTAATTTCAGAAAAAAACGTTCATAATCTTTAGGAGATACAATATTTAATTCACCTTTTGCTATAGATTTTCTTGAACGTTGGCGTCTACACCATACTTTTTTGACTCCCTCTTTGAGATAGTGCAGTCAGTTTTTACGTAAAAAATTTTTGTTGATTAGGTTAATTTTACAAAGAAATAAAACAAATTCGGCTTTATTTCAAGAAGATTGAGGGGGTTGCAATGGGGGTAGAGGGGGGCTGAAGTATGCTATTCTTAAGCTATTTTACAGAGAAACAACATAAATTTTGCCTAATTTTAAGAAGAGCTAAGGGGGATTATGAGCAAGTTGTAAAACAGCATGTTACCCGACACTCACCGTGCGCCAGCGCTAGACTACACCCCGCTATCTTCAAGAACATGTAATTTGCGAAGCTTTATAGGTCCCAACTTGAAAATTTGCATGTCTGTAGTTGAAAAATTAAGCTTTTGACTAATGCAAGTTAAAAAAAAAAATACGTACTTTGAGAAAAAAAAGCCTAAAAAAATGTAGAATTTGAAAAATGCTACTTATCAACAAGGGTTGTTGACTTATTTTCACATATAATCAGTTAAATATGATTTTCAGGTTATTGAAATAATTATCAAACTCCTTTCCAAATCTAAGGATGCGGTATAGTTACAGAGGAATTGATGCACAGTATTTAGGGGGCGGAAATATATTCTACAAGAGACTTATGCAGACAGAAAAATTGCTAGAATTCTTAATATATTGAAAAAAAATTATGTTGACATTCCATAATAAACAATTTCTACAAAGAGTCTTATTAATATGCTAAAAATGCTGCCGGCCGTAAATTTCAGGATTGGGAGCGCTGATGTTACCACCTATCAATTGTGGCTTCATTCCACTTAACTTAATGCATTCTCAGCCTGTATTGACAATTATACAAATAATGCTGTTACTTTTGGGTGCTTTTTTACATCAGTAAAGTGAGCTGCATCTCGTTAGTGGCATAACCAGCACTCTTAACATAGAAACTGACTGCTGGACCTATTTTAAAACACCAAAATTAAAACTACAAGTAATCCATGAAAAAAAGATTAAACGAAGTACGATAAAAGCTGTATAAATACATTCTTATTCTAAAACATCGGAGATGTTTAATACAATGTTGAAATAGGTACTAGTACACTTACACTTACAGATACACTTCAATAAATGGCATTTTGGTAAATATATCGTAACATAATTTAA